TGTGTGTGTGTGTGTGTGTGTGTGTGTGTGTGTGTGTTTGTGTGTGTGTGTGTGTGTGTGCTCTGCAGGTGAAGGCGTGGCTGGAGGAGGTTGGAGAGGTCCAACTGAAGGCTCTGAATGAACCTGCAGATTCTTTGGAGCTTCTGAACAGGAGACATCAGGACTTCAACGATTTCTACCCAGCTGCTTATGTATGACACACACACACACTCACACACACATGTATGTTTGTTCTTGAACCCCGTGGGGACCTTCCATTGACTTCCATTCATCTTTTTGTTTTTAGACTTAATATCCTAACCCTGACCATTAATCCTAAAATTAATCTCACAGGTACTAGGCCTGAACGATTTTGGAAAATAATCTAATTGCGATTTTTTTATCTATAAATTGCGATTTAATATGCGATTATTATTTTTTTAATGTTGTCTCAAGTATTTTTCAACAAACAGAAGCAATAAACAGTCTGTTTTATAATAAAGTAAATTTATTTAAAGCTTCTAAAAGTCTCCAAAAATACCGGGAAAAGTTGCCAGATTTGTCGTTAGTTCTCTTTTTGGGGAAAAAAAGCCGCTAGGTCACTAAGTTAGCAACACCGCTCCACTCGGCTCACTCCCAGGTCACGTGACCAGTCAAATCGCAGCCTGTGCGGTTAGAAAATCTCGTTTCAACATATCGCAAGATTATCACAAATGCAATTAATCGTTCAGCCCTCACAGAAACTTACCTGACCCTAAAACCAACCTAAACCTTGGTCCTAAACCTAACCCCACACCTGTAACATGCATTTGGGATTCACTTTGGTCCCCATGAGGCTGTTATTTTTGGGAAAATTGTCCCCACGTTGTAGGAAAAACCCATCCACACACACACACGTTTGTATTTCTATCATAATTAGGACCGTTCATTGACTTCTATTCATATCTATAGCCTAACTACCCTAAACCTAACCCCCACTCAAACATGGAGTTCCACCATATTAGGACCTGTCTTCGGTCCCCATAAGTTCGACCAGATGTTTCTAAGAAACCAAAGGTTCTGCGTGGATGAAGTCCAACCTGCTGTGTGCTGGTTGGGCTCAGTCCAGTCCTTACAGTGGTCCTGCTCTCTGCCTTCAGGACCACTGTAAACGAGGCGAGGCTCTGCTGACCCGCCTGGAGCGCTGGGACGACGTGTCCTCCGCCGACCTCAGCATCTACGAGGACAAGGTCCACTCGTTCTGGGCCCAGCTGCAGGATTTTTCTCAGCGCGTCAAGAACACCGGGAACAACATCAATCGGGCCGTCCAGCTGTACTCCTTCTTGGATCAGGTGAGTTCTGAGAACAGGTGCAGAGAGCCTGACGGGCTACACCGAGGCCAGGATGAGTCGTCCAGCAGGTTAAGGTATCCTGCAAAATCCACTTTTTAAATATACTTCATTGTAAATACATTTTGTTGTGAACTTGGAGTCTCCAGGAGGCAGAAAAGTTGAGTTTATTCTCTCCTGGTGCTGCAAAGATTTCTTTAAATTCTGTTTGGATCAGATTTTTCAGCCTGTTCAGGTTTCTCTGTTTTCTGTGACGTTTTCTGAACTATTACATCAAATAATCTGCAATGGAATTACCAAATAAGGTCTGGACTTACCAATTACAAACTCCCAGTCCTTATTCTCCTCTGGTTCTGGATTACTTCTAACAGATATTGTCCTGATCTTAAAACACTTTATCTGAGAGAAAACAGAAGATAAAAAGTGGAATCATAAAACATGATGACTGAGTCTTGGCCTGAGAAGAATCTGAGGAGAGACGTTTAAATTATTTTTTTGATCTCAAGGCTTTTTGGTGGTTTTGTTTGGCCTCTGTGTACGCATTCTTGATTTTCAGTGATTTTCTGAGAATGAAAATTATTTAATATCTGTGTGTTAAAGTATTTGTGTATTTGTGATCATGTGTTTCATGTAGCAAGGATCTGTGTGTAGTTGCTCCGGCGTCAGGGTGTCCCTCCTCCCTCCTTTCACTGCTTTTACCACAAAGTCTTTGTTGCTGTGGTAACGACCTCCCCCCAATGAGACCGCCCACTTTCCATTCAGACTGACCCCCTCATCAATGAGATGGGTGTGTGTGTGTGTCTGTGTGTGTGTGTGTGGTCAGGGTGCTGATCTCCGCTCAGTTCAGTCGAACAGCAGAGCTTCAACTGAGCACAGAGGTACGACCACAACAAACACACACATTACGCACACACGCCACTGAGTTGTGTTAGTGTAAATGATTTGGTTAGAAATGTTGAAATGTGTGTTTGCATGCTGTGGTGTGGGTCGTGCACATGTTGTGTATTTCTGACACGGTTCTGCTGAACGTGTCTGAGCAACTCTGATTTTAATCCTTCATTTTGGTTTGAACTTTTGACAAACTTAACATCATCAAGGTGTGTGTTTGTTCAGTTTGTCTTCTGCCTGTGAGGTTTGTGTGTGTTTGTTCAGTTTGTCTTCTGCCTGTGAGATGTTTGTGTGTTGATAACAGACAACAGAGCTGCTGATTCCCTCAGACAGGCTAATCATCTCAAACATGCAGAGAGCAGCCGGTGCTCAGGATCACTTTATTTATTGATCAGTTCATCAGGAGAGCTTCGTATTGATTCTTCATGTGAAGCTCGTGTGAAACGTAAAGCTCTGCTGAGGAACCCGAGTCACTGAAAACCTACAGAAACAGCCGAAGACTCCATCTACAGCAAGATAATGAGCTGATTTTATATTGTCTGAAATGATTCCTGAAATTCCTGAGGAGCTTCAATCCTGCCTGGATATGTTCTGTAAAAATGTTCTTTAAGAACAAAGCTGTGTTTACTGCAGAGTTTGCATTTTCTGTGAAAGTGCAGCACAGATGCTTAATGCTGAGAGAATTTTGTAGAAGAAATATGAAAAGAAAAGTTGATGAAAAATCTGAAACTAACACAAAGACTAACAGAAAAACTGTCCATCTAACCAAGTTTTAAAGTCTTATATCAGCCAAAAAGTCTTTTTGATCTTGTTTTCAGACTGATTTACTAAACAAGAACTGATTGTGTAAGAATAATCATCTTGTTTTCAGAATGTGTAAGATTATTTGTTGTTAGTCTGAAAATTTGACTCAGATTAAGTCAAAAATTTCTGCTAATGGAGTAAGAAATTTTTACTTAGTAAGACTCTTGAAATACTTGATTTGACTCAATTTTTTTCTTATTTCAAGAATAACCAACCAGTGGACCATCCACTCGTTCGTCCACTGGTTGGTCCACAGTGGAGGGTCCACTGGTTAGTCCACTGGTTGGTCCACAGTGGACGGTCCACTGGTTGGTCCACTGGTTGGTCCACAGTGGACCGTCCACTGGTTGGTCCACAGTGGACCGTCCACTGGTTGGTCCACAGTGGACGGTCCACTGGTTAGTCCACTGGTTGGTCCACAGTGGACGGTCCACTGGTTAGTCCACTGGTTGGTCCACAGTGGACCGTCCACTAGTTGGTCCACAGTGGATGGTCCCCTCATTGGTCCACTTGTTGGTCCACTGGCTGGTCCACTCATTCGTCCACTGTGGACGGTCCACTGGTTGGTCCACTCATTCGTCCACTGTGGACGGTCCATGGTTGGTCCACTCTTTGGTCCACTGCAGATGGTTCACTTGTTGGTCCACTGGTTGGTCCACTGTGGACAGTCCACTGTGGACAGTCCACTGTTTGGTCCACTGCAGATGCTCTACTCATTGGTCCACTTGTTGGTCCACTGGTTGTCCACAGTGGAGGGTCCACTCGGTCCACTGTTGGCAGTCCTCTCATTGGTCCACTCTAGGGCTGCCACAAACGATTATTTTTATAATCGACTAATCACTGATTATTTTTTCGAGTGGTCGACTAATCAGATCATACGTTAATTGAATATAAAACATAGAGCTTATCGCACCAGAATGCAGCTGCTATTATACACTCACCGGCCACTTTATTAGGTACACCTGTCCAACT